ACGGAGTCTTGCTCTGTCACCCAGGATGAAGTGCAGTGGCCCAATCTCTGCTCACTGCAACCTCTACCTCTGGGTTCAAGTGATTCTCCTGCCTCAGCCTCCCTAGTATCTGGGATTACAGGTGCCCACCAGCACACCCAGCTAATTTTTGTATTTTTAGTAGAGACGGGGTTTTGCCATGTTGACCAGGCTGGCCTCAAACTCCTGACCTCAAGTGATCCACCAGCCTCGGCTTCCCAAAGTGTTGGGATTACAGGAGTGAGCCACAGCGCCCGGCTAAAGTCGTAATTATTGTATTTTATTTATTTATTAGTATTTGAGACAGATTGTTGCTCTGTAGCTCACGCTGGAGTGCAGTGGCACGATCCAGGCTCACTGCAACCTCTGCCTCCAGGGTTCAAGCAATTCTCCGCCTCAGCCTGCTAAGTAGCTGGGATTAGAGGCGCCCGCCACCAGGCCCGGCTAATTTTTGTATTTTTAGTAGAGATGGTGTTTCACCATCTTGGCCAGGAGGGTCTCGAACTCCTAATCTCGTGATCCACCCCCCCCCCTCGGCTTCCCAAAGCGCTGGGGATTACAGGCCTGAGCCACCGCGCCCTGCAGGTCGTAATTATGTTAAACATGGGCTTTCACAGGACTCACAAGGCACACCTTGTTCTTTTCAGCTCATTCCTCCTTCCCCCTTAACCCTTTCCTTTCGCTTCACTGACTCGACTCACTGTGCGGACAGAGCTAAGCGCTGGGAACGCATTCAACAGGGAAGAAGGCGAAGTCCCGCCTTCACGCAGCTCGCACTGTAACGAGGTCTGATCAGGGATGGTGACTGAAAATAACTCGTGTTTAATCAGCAGGACAGAGGGTGTCAGTCAGCCCCCGCGGTGGCCCGGGCCCGGCAGCGGGCCGGAGGTGTGGCCCGAGGGCGGCCTGCGGGGCGTTCCGATTCCCGGGGGGGCAGCCACTGGCTAATGCTTGGAGGCGAGGCTTTTCAAAGAGACTGACTTGGAAAACGGCCGGTGACATCGGGATTTGGCTGAACTGCGGGGAGCAGGGATCTTAAGCCTTCGCGTGCTGCCGGGGTAGAAAGAAAGGGCTCAAGGACCGGATGATCCGGGCAGTAGCTTTTTCACTAACCTGTAGGAAAATGTTCCAATGTCTTTTTTTTTTTTTTTTAATTGCATTTTAGGTTTTGGGATACATGTGCAGAGCATGCAGTACAGTTGCATAGGTACACACAGGGCAGTGTGTTCTGTTTGCTTTCACCTCTTCACCCGCATTTGGCGTTTCTCCCCAGGCTATCCCTCCCCACCTCCCCCTCCCACTGGCCCTCCCCTTTTCCCCCCAATAGACCCCAGTGTTTAGTACTCCCCTTTCTGTGTCCATGTGTTCTCATTGTTCATCACCCGCCTATGAGTGACAATATGCGGTGTTTCATTTTCTGTTCTTGTGTCAGTTTGCTGAGAATGATGTTCTCCAGATTCATCCGTGTCCCTACAAACGACACAAACTCATCATTTCTGATTGCTGCATAATATTCCATGGTGTATATGTGCCACATTTTTCCAATCCAGTCTATTATCAATGGGCATTTGGGTTGATTCCAGGTCTTTGCTATTGTAAACAGTGCTGCAATGTCTTAATGGCCGGTACAGCCATATTGGTGCATACGGTCCAGGTACAGTGTTCCAGATCGATGGATATCGGCCCAGATTCAGCGGCTATTGTTCTTTTGCCTGCCAGGAGCACAAACAGTTTCTCAGAAGAAATGTTATTTCCATGTATATAATCGTGTAATTCAAACAGGAGCTGCCGTTTACTCGCAGACCTCCTAAGTGACAGTGTCTGGCTTGGGGCAAGGCGGGCCACAGTTGCTGGGACTACCATTGATTCGTCTTTATTACTTAGCTCAGTCTCTGGAATAGAATCAGGCACTTGATAGACTCGTTTAGGAATAAATGGACACAAATCTTTATTGCTTCGTTTGCTCTCGCTTGTAAAATTTCTGCAACTGTGTGACTCTGCTGTAATGGAAAGTCTTATCCTGCTTAGGAGCTTAATATTTAAGTTGATTTAGATAGTGCATTTCACGATATCTTTGGTAAGTTTCAAGAATTGGCTGGCAGCTGTCACTGTGACATTCAAGGCTTATGTTTACTTGTTCTTTTTTCCCTAATACAACGTTTACAAACTCCAAGAATTGTATCCATTTCACAGGTTGTTGTCAGATTTAAGGCAAAAGATATAAGTAGGCTTTATAAATTTTAAAGTTGGTACAAATGTTTGTTGATACTCTTGTTTAACTCAACGTCAAATACTTGAGGACCTTCCGCGTACTTAGTGATCACAGAGTTAACCACTATTACACAGTACTGTGTTCCTCCAGGAATCAAAGGGCAGCAGCTCAAAGGCAGTACGCGATGCGCACGAGATGAAGCTGATCAGTCAGAAGGAAAAGGAACTCAGACGCCAGAGCTCCCAAGGTCCGAATAGCGGGCACTTTTAGAGACAACTCTAGTTTTCTCCTGATGGCTGAAATTACTAGCAGCCTAAGATCACTGTCCTTTTCCTGGAATGATAAGTACAGTGTGTCCGAAGGGGGCCAGAGTCATCTAGTGTGTTTACAAATGATAAAAGTAAGAGGTGTGAGTATGAATGTTGTTGTTCCAAGAAACATTGTTTGCTCCAGAGTGACTGCATTCTTCCATGTGTGTGTGTCTGTGTGTCTGTGTGTGTGTCTGTGTGTGTCTCTGTGTGTGTCTGTGTCTGTGTGTCTGTGTGTGTGTCTGTGTGTGTCTGTGTCTGTCTGTGTGTCTGTGTGTGTGTCTGTGTGTGTGTCTGTGTGTGTGTGGGGGGTGTGTGTGTCTGTGTGGGTGTGTGTGTCTGTGTGTGTGTGTCTGTGTGGGGGTGTGTGTGTGTGTCTGTGTCTGGGTGTCTGTGTGTGTGTGTCTGTGTGGGTGTCTGTGTGTGTGTCTGTGTGTGTGTGTCTGTGTGTGTGTGTGTCTGTGTGTGTGTGTGTGTGTGTTGGTTGTAACAAGGTAAATCAAAGTAGATTAAGCAGGAAAAAAGAGGGAATTTGTTATAAAGAAGCAATAGTGTTTGATAGAACAACCCAATGGCAGGAATGTGTATGGGTCTTGGGAAGAGCCTAGAGCCAGGAACTGAAAAGAGGTTTGGATTCTTGCTCCAAATTTGCTTCTCCGCGCACACCTACTACATTCTCTCTCTCTGCTTCTCTAATCAGCATGGCAGTCTGTATCCTTAGTTAAAATATTTGTATCATTAATTCCTCATTACTCAAATGACCGTCACTTGAGGCTGCAGAGAAGACATGTCCTTGCTGAGTGGGAGGATTTTAAATCTATGGGCTATTTTAGATGTAAGACACTATGATTCTCCCAACTTAGACTCCCATATACACAAGGATTCACTTCCATTGCAGCTTCTGTGTCTGTTTATAGCACAACTGTTTTTTGTTTGTTTGTTTCGGTCTTATTCTAGCCCTTCATCTTTCATGTGGAGTCAATCACTAGGTGTTACTGGGTTTCGGTCTCAAAAGTCTATCATTAAATAATGTAAGTTTTTTCAATAACACAATTCACAATTGCAAAGATTGGAACCAACCTAGGTGCCTATCAACTAATGAGTGGATAAAGAAAATGTTATATATGTATATATATGTATATTATATATATATACACACAGAATATACACACAGACACACACACACACACACACACATCATGGGATACTACCCAGCCATCATAAGGAATGAAATGATGTGAAATAATGTCTTTTGCAGTAACTTGGATGGAGCTGGGGGCCATTACTCTAACGGAAGTAACTCAGGAGTGGAAAACCAAAAACCATATATTCTCACTTAAATGGAAGCTAGGCTATGAGCCCACAAAGGTATACAGAGTGATATAATGGACTTTAGAGACTTAAAAGGGGGAGGGTGGGAAGGGACTTATGGATAAAAAAACTACTTATTGAGTATAATGTACACAACTCGGGTGATGGGTGCACAAATCTCAGCATTCACTACTATATACTTCATTCACATAACAAAAACCCACTTGTAACCCAAAAGCTATTGAAATAAAAATCTTTTTAATAAAGACAATGCCACACAAAAAAGAATATTAGTTTTCTTCTAATGCTGAAGGCCAATATAAAAGGTAACAAGAGCCTGAGCTCTTTAATTAATGAGTACAAGTTAAGACAGAATCACATCAGGATTTGGAGTTGAACCTGAGCTCAAATCCTGTCCGCATCACTGCTAGCACTGAGGCTTTCCTTTCAGCTACAAAGTGGAGATACAGTACTAAACAACCTCACTGGGTTGCTTAGCTTGCTGGGTTGTTTACTGGTTGGTTAATTAATATCTATAACATACTTAACAATGTTTCTATGAATGCAAGAACTTCCTGTAAGCACATAGTACAGAGTAGTTATTATTAAGTAATGATAAATAAAAAGCAGTAGTATAATTCTTTTTTTAGTTTAGGAAATGCTTGCACCTAGCTTTTCTCATCTAAAATTCATTAAAACCCCGAAAGGCTGATAATATCCCCATTTTAGGGATGGGGACAGCAAAAAACAAGGAGATAAGAACACCTAGATATATCAGAGACCCAGCTTTTTGTAGACTGACTGACCTAGGTGATACATGAGGTCCTGAAATTGTTCATTTATTCACACATACAACAAATACTTATTTACTTCTTACCATAAACCATTCAAGGAGCCTGGAGATATAGCATAAACAAGCAAAAACATACACAAATATTTGCCTAGAAATATTCAAATGTAGGGTATTTTATAGAATATGTAACACAGAAAATAGAAAAATAAAATATGAAAATAGCCTAATTTTTAAGGTTTTTCTTTTTCATGGTTAACGGTTCATAGTTAATGGGGAGTACCCATTAACTCCCACCTTCCTTCTCAGCTCCTTCCCAAGACTTAAAGTATCGGGAACTAGAAAATTGTGATTCAGCTTGGGCGGAATGCCCCTCCAGCGCCAAGGCTTATTCGAAGCCCCAGATTCAGAGGAGCCGGCCAGACCTTGGCAGTGTATGAAGGTGGAAGCAGAGGTCGCGGAACCAGTGTTCCGGCCGCTGTGGTTGTCTGGGGGAAGCTGATTCTGGGGACCGGTTGCGGAAGGCTCCTGCGCTATTTCCGGCCACCTCAGCGGGAAGCGGAGACGCCAGCAGCTGGCTCGCTGGTAACTGAGACGGGGTCTAACTGTCGTCGCGGCGGAGGAAGTGAGGACGAAGCCAGCGGCCTTCCGGGCCAGCGTTGGGTCCCTGTAGCTTGTGAAAATGGTGTTGCTAACAATGATCGCCCGAGTGGCGGACGGGCTCCCGCTGGCAGCGTCGATGCAGGAGGACGAACAGGTGAGCGACTAGCCCGCGACCCCAAGTCCCTGCCAGCGCGCGCTGCCCTCAGCACAGGATTCCTTCCTAGGGCCGGGAGGTCCCTGTGACCTCTCTGAAGGGCCCTTTTATCTTTCGGTGTGGGAGAGACTGCCTGAGAAAGGACATCGTTCCCGAAGAATGAGTTCGATCCTTGTGTTACCCCTTTCTCTTTAGAAAAACGCTCTGGAGAAGTGAGCATTGGTTGCGATGGCCCAGTGTTCTCTGACTGTTCAGGGACTTTGTTAAATTCAGGCTTCTGATGTTCTGCTGACGGATAAATCCTGGGAAAACGCGGCCGAGCTCAACTCTGTCATGTAGCACCTGACCCTTGACCCCGCTTGCTGACACCTTTTGAAAGTGGGTGAGGTAATATGGCCCCATACAGAGCACCTGTTAAAGCTCAGTGCAGCGCACTCAGGATTACCCCCAGGCCCCACCTTCTCCAAAACGCCGAACCACACCCCTGCAATGCATTGTAACTTAACTTTCTTCTTTGTCTTTCAACAACTGGAGTTTTCCAGTGGGCTGACGACGGTTCTTAATCATCTCTGTGTTGTGCATATCGTTTACAATCGCTGCTTTATTGCCAGTACGTGCTCAAAAATATATCGAAGTGATTAAAAACAGCAACTCCAGATATCTTAAAAGGAAGCTGTTTTGTGTTCTAGAATCGCAGTGGAAATCTCTCAAGTAAGGCAAGTTTCTAGAGCGAGCTTGGGAGGCTCTGAAGACAAAGCTGAGAATGGAATTGATAGAATTTATTTAAAGTGATCGATTTTATTTTACTTTTTCATACAGTCTAAGCGATGTTTTAAAACCTTGAGCCTTAAGAAAACGATGAGATCTAAAAAAAATGTTTTGTGCATTTATTCTATTGGACTTTTCATTCATATATTAATGCAAAAAATTTTTATTGAGCACATCAAATGTGCCAGGCATAGTGATAATGCAGGGGTCAAGAGTACACAGTCTCTACCTTTGTGGAGCTTACAGTCTACTGGAAAGGTCAGGTAACTATTAAAATATAGTATAACTGCTAAGGAGAAGGAAGAGAGTTTTATGGATGAACATGGGAAATGCATGTAAGTTCATTTTAGGAAGTCAGGAAAGTTTTCCCAGAAGGCATGACATTAAGCTAACAGTAGGCTCCATTGGTAAGGAACTATTCTATTTAGTTGTATGCCTTTTTAGGTTTGATTTGGAAATATATTTACTTTAACTTTTAGGAGAGTATTGATACAGATAATAAAGTTGCAGGTCATGCTAGGTGAAATATATTCCATTCGTTTCATAAAAACAAAGTCTAATCTTTGAAATAACTGTGAACAATTTAACATACCCTGATTTGGTACTGTGAAATGTGTTTCAGGAATATTCTTGGACCATCCTGCAGAAAGATTGTAATTGTTCAGATGAACCCAGGAATATGATTTGAACAAAGTAGTCAGTGTAGGAAAACATCCTTGGAGGATGTGTAGTTTGACTAAAAGGTAGTTTTCCTACAGTGGGTGGCTGTGTGATTGGGGTCGGAGGGACGGATTCTGCTCAGTTTTTCAGCTATTGCATTGAATTCCAGTGTGGACAAAGAATACAAAGTGAACTTGAAAGTCTACTTAATATTAGTGGCCCCTGCTCTCTGCCTTCATACTTTATTGAAACATTAATTATTGTTTTTTAATTCTGAGTTTGGTATTGATTTCCTATTGGTTTATCAAGATGGGTTGCTTCATTTAATTGACAAGGAAAGAAATTTTACACACAAATATTTTTGTGATTGTAGTGCCATCGTATTTTCCTTTAGGAATTTTGACTTTGAATAATAAAGTTTGCCTGAACTTTTAATGTCTGTAAAAATCTGAATCTTAGACTTACTTTTACTATATTCATGGCATACAGAACATTTGTAAAAGTGCCTACTACATACCAAACACTGGCTAAGCCTATTAAATGCATTTTTTTCATTTCATCCTCATGCTACCTTATTAGAATAGGTACTATTAAAATCTCCAAGTATAGATAAGGAAGCTCCGAGGCTTATAAAGGATAGAACACTTGCCTAAAGTCACACTGCTAATAAGTAGCATGATGAAGTTTTTCACCTTGGCACTGTTGACATTTGGGATAGATAATTCTTTGTTTTTGGGAACTGTCCTGTACACTGCATAGGAGGTCCAGCAATATCCCTGGCCTCTACCCTCTAGATGCCAGTAGCACCACCACCCTTCCCCACTTGGTTGTGACAACAAAAATATTTCTAGACATTGCTAACTGTCCCATGGTGGTGGGGAGGGGTGGCAAAATCACCCCAATTGAGACCCAGTGTTTTAAAATAAGTATTTGTTTCACCGGGCGCGGTGGCTCACACCTATAATCCCAGCGCTTTGGGAGGCTGAGGCAGGCAGATTGCGAGGTCAAGAGATCGAGACCATCCTGGTCAACAAGGTGAGACCCCGTCTCTACTAAAAATACAAAAAGTAGCTGGGCATGGTGGTGAGCGCCTGTAGTCCCAGCTACTCAGGAGGCTGAGGCAGGAGAATTGCTTGAACCAAGAAGGAAGAGGTTGCGGTGAGCCAAGATTGCGCCATCGCACTCCAGTCTGGGTAACAAGAGCAAAACTCCGTCTCAAAAAAAAAAAAAATTATTTGTTTCAGTCAACTGAAGCTTTAGTGCCTAACCACCGCACTTCAGTGCCTTGTTCTAAGACTTTTTAATGATGTCTTACCTCAGGAGTCCAGAGATAACTTTTTAATAAACAATTTTATATTTAGGCACCTTACTTGTCCAGGCCAAATAATTCAATGTATTTTGATTTTCGTTTGTTTTTGTTTTCTTATCAGTGTACTTTCAATATTTATGCTGATAATAGATATTATATTTTATGTATGTACTAGGTGCCTATACAAGCTGCTGTATTACCAAAGATGGACAGTTCTTCAGATAATACAATAGAGAATAAAATTCACAAAATAATGTAGACAGAGTATTTCATACAGGGTGTTTCCTTTGTGTTTAGCTGGAAATGTAGACTTAGGGCAGATAGAGAGATGAGCTTTTCTTCTCAAATGTAGACTCCCTAACTGATACCCTGTTTATGTTTTTTCTCCCTTTTATGGTGTGTTTCTCCTTCTAGGATGTTTACAATTTCTTTAGCTACCTTTCTGTTCTGCCTCAAAATGGTTGTATTTTCTTTTACTTTCCCCTGGCACTGTGAAGGGCAGTTCAGACTTGGAGAAAGTGTTAGATCTCACCAGATAGGCAGCAGGAAGCTCCAAGAAAGCAGGTAACATGCTGTACAGTTAAATTGTCTCATTCTCCCAGTCACTGAGGGTTGATTAATCACCATACTGTAATTGCTTTTGGAGAAAAGTGGTTGGTTCTTGGTGCTGCTGGTCTTTGGCCAGCTGAGTTCAATGGGGTATTTAAAAATGATAAGAGCTGTGAAGACAAAAGTTGTTATTTAAAACAACTAGTCGTTCAGCAGTCCTGGGTGACAGCAATGAAAAGTGTTGTAGTAGTTGTGTGTCAAATTACTACCTTCTACCTTTTGTAATATATAGATCCAAATGCTAAATTTGCTATTGGATAACCTCAAATTTGTTTCAGTTTTTCCAGTTATTCTCATCCACTGCATTATTGGATTACTAACAGATAGCTCACAATTACACCATATACAAATTGTGTTAATCTGTTCCAGATGGAGTAGAAAACAGAATGAGGACATCTAAGTATTTTAGGGTGCACTGGCTAACTGTGGGCCCTTTCGGACTTTGATCTTGAAAGCAAACTAAAGGTCAGTCTGTAAAACAGTGCTTATGCTGTTTTGTGAGATCTACATCAGAGCTGCCACATGGTTTCTTGAGCATTTCCAATCAATTAGGATTACATAATAAGACTTGACCTAAAAGGTGGATCTGCTATTGAAGCAATTTCAGTTACAGAGTGAGTGTAGCATAATGCTTAGGAGTAGGGGCTCCAGGGCCAGATTGCCTGTGTTCAGATCCTAAGTGCTTCCCTTTGTAGCTTAGAGTCACTGGACAAGATTGACTTCTCAAGTAAAAAATTGGCATAATAATTCTAATCACCTCATGAAGATTAAATGAGTTAAATAACATAAAGTGTTCGGAACGGTGCCAGGCAGAAAGTGAACACTTAATAATTTCATTTGACCATTTCTGAAGACTCTTTTCTAATTCCATCTTGCCTTTCCTTTTTTTTTTTTTTTTTCAGACAGAGTCTCACTCTGTTGCCCAGGAGTGCAGTGCGATCTCGGCTCACTGCAACCTCTTCACTGTTAAGTAGGAAAAATCAGGTCAAACAGTCTTACGATATTACCTATTATTTAATTGTATACACACATGCATATGTTTAAGGTCATCCACCAGAATGGATATAATTTGAGTACAGATTATAGCTAATAAACACTGTTAACATTTTGGTCATTTTATTTTTATGTATTTACTGATCTTTCTAAAATATGCACAAATTAATTCTGTATGTGAAACATCTTGAACCCCTCAGGTTCAAGAGATTCTCCTGCCTCAGCCTCTCCTTTAGCTGGGATTACAGGCGCCTGCCATCTTGCCTGGCTAATTTTTGTGTTTTTAGTAGAGACAGAGTTTCACCAACTTGGCCAGGCTGGTCTTGAACTCATGACCTCATGATCCACCCGCCTCAGCCTCCCAAAGTGCTGGTATTACAGGCGTGAGCCACTGCACCCAGCCTCATCTTGCCTTTCTTAAAGGTTCACAGATTAGAATTGCACATAATCAACACACTGGATGCAAATATGTAATGAACAGTAACGAGTGAATGATGTTTCACATTACAGAATTAATTTGTGCATGTTTTAGAAAGATCAGTAAATACATAAAAATAAAATGACCAAAATGTTAACAGTGTTTATTAGCTATAATCTGTACTCAAATTATATCCATTCTGGTGGATGACCTTAAACATATGCATGTGTGTATACAATTAAATAATAGGTAATATCGTAAGACTGTTTCACCTGATTTTTTCTACTTAACAGTGTTTAATGACTATTTTCTCATATCATTAAATACTGTACAGCATTGTTTTAATGACTACATAATATTCCATTATACGACTATGCCAGAAAGATTATTATTTAACCCAAAAGATTGTGCTAGCATTGTGTTCTCAAGGATGGTAATGCTAACTGGATCAGCATGGTAAGATGTTGGTTGGCATACCATAATCCCTATAAATACATCCCCAGGGTTGTATATTGGCGGTCTTTACATCGCGCTTTGCACATTCCTGAAATTGTGGCATGCTTTTGGCCAGTTTCTTATAGCTGATTCAGTTGTTAGCCTTTCTCTCAGGTCGCAGTAATGTTTACAGTGCCTCTTTTAAAGTCGAAGGATTTGTACCAGTCTATCTGACAGTTTTTTCCATGTTTCTTCAACTAGTCCTTTTATGATTCTCATCTGCCTTTAGTTTTGTTTTTGAGATTCTCCACGTGACTTTATCATGAAGTCAAAGTTGAATATCACAGATCTATGCTGATATTCTTTCTTGGCACTTAGTAGCATTCCCAACATTATTTGCACCCCTTTTATATACTCTTGTGGGTTCAGATTTCTTTAGAATGGCACTGGGGAAACAAAAAGATTGGTAAGTACCACTCAAATTTAGGAAAATAGAATATTGTGCACTAGTTGTCATTGTAAAAGCATATAACAATATTCACTCTCTTACTGGCTGACCATATATTAGTAGTCTGTTTAATATGATAATTTTGATATAGAATTATGAAATACTGTTTATAAAACTGTACAGACATACAAATGTTAATATAGAACTATTTCTCAAATATATAACAAATATATGTCAATAAAACAAATCATTGCCATAACAGAGGTGCTAAACAAGATAAATCTACAAACTAAACCTTGACTGGACTCTGCCTATCTCCCCTGGTTCACCTCATACTTACTCACCTTCTTATTCATATTGAAATTTCCAGTTCACCATTTTTATGTATAGCTTAGAATCTTAGTATCCTATAATTGTACGTTTGCAAATCTGCCACTTTATCACTTTATTATTGCTTCCTTGTTTTTAGTGTCAGCTTAGCAGTACGCTATCTACAATTTTAAGATATCACTGTGTACTTTATCACAGTTAGACCTCAGACCCTGGGAGACACTAGCGTAAATACTTTTCTACTTAAATATTAAGTTATTAAACATCTGCCAAAGGGAGACTTTTTTTCAATGTAAAATAAATAATTCCAAAATAGAATGATTTCTTTGCATCACATGGCAGTGTCTTAGTCTCTTTGTGTTACTATAATGAAATACCATAAACTAGGTGGCTTATAAACAACAGAAATTGATTTTTCTAGTTCTGCAAGGTGAAGATCAAATACCAGCAGATTTGGTGACTATTGCGGGCCTATTCCTGGTTCACAGATGTCACCTTTTGGCTGTTTTCTCACTTGGTGGATGGAGCAAGCTAACCCTCTGGGGTCTCTTTTATACAGGTACTAATTGCATTCATGAGGGCTCTACCCTCATGACTTAATCACCTCGCAAAGATCCCAGTTGTTAATATCATCACTTTAGGGGGTTAGGATTTCAACAGGAATTCTGTGGGAGACATCAGCAAACATTCAGACTATAGCTGGATAGCTGGCAGAAAGCCCTCATACTCCACATGTGGATGGATAAACAATGTCTATTTGCTTCCCATTCTCTGGGCACTTCTTCCCTGTTGGATCTAGTAGATGTGTGATTTTCTTCTTTTGAAATGACACTGCTGTTTTTCCCAGTAAATTTCCCCCTTCTTTAAAAAAAATTGTAAAAGCAGTTAGAAATTGTTCAGGAGAATATTACTTATAACATCTGAATGCTATTATTTTCATTTTTGTTTGCATATATCCCTCTGTATTCAGACTTTTGCTGTCCACATTTGGGAACCAAATCGATTTATTCAGTAAAGGGTATTTGACCTTCTAATCTTTGTCTCTGTTCTTGGTCATTTTTACCTAATTGCAGTCAAAGTGTTCGTAATAATTTGCAGTCATGAGTACACACATTTAGTTTTGTTTAAATGCTCAAAATTGTAACACCTGTGGAAGGTTCTGCTGGATATTCCAACATAAAACTGGAATTCATCAGTCTTGTTCCTGGGATTTTTGCCCGAGAATAGCACATGCTGTATAGTTTTATGTCAATACCTGCAAATGAAATGGGTTAGAAGGAGAGTACTTTCCTAATAGTGGAAATAACACTGGATTGGAAGTTAAGAGAGCATTAAGTGTATTTGAGGCATGTGCTTTTGCATCTTAGCAAATAACTAATGTGATAATCTGGAAGAAGTTGGGGTTAGGTCTTTCTCTGTACTCTGAAAGTAGGTTGTTTTTCTTCGTTAAAATGAATCTTACTTACCTGTAAATGACGGACCTTATTCAGAGTGTCCTCATAATATGATGTTTCTCACTAATTGATTCAGCTTTTTGTGAAAAGATCTTAAATGAAGATGTCTTTTTTCAGTCTGGCCGGGACCTTCAACAGTATCAGAGTCAGGCTAAGCAACTCTTTCGAAAGTTGAATGAACAGTCCCCTACCAGATGTACCTTGGAAGCAGGAGCCATGACTTTTCAGTGAGTATAATCTTGATTTCTTTACGATCATTTAAGTGTAAAATACAGTGACAGAATGCTTGATAAAAATATTTATTTTTTAAGTAAAGATTATTTTAAAATGTAGTCTCTTGAGAGAAGCAACTTCTCTGGCTCTAATTCTGCAAAACAGATCTTATTTGTTTTTTCAACATGCTTACAGTAATGTAACCCGTTAACATGTGTCTAATGAATGCTGTGCCCATCATGCAATAATAGATAACTTCTTGCTTTGGGACTGTCTTGGGGCCAGATATGTGTAGGTTAGTACCCTTGCTCACACATTTCCTGACCGTGTAACTTGGAGCAACTCACATACTTTCTCTAAGGCTTAGTTTCCTCTATAGAGTAGTGAAAATAAACATAGGAGGTTTCCGAGGATTTTTGAGGGAATCCATGAATATTATTTAGCATCTTGTCTGATACATGGAAGAGTCAATAAATATTAGTTATTATTTTTTGAAAAGAAAATTATAAAAGATAAGAGCATCTGAATCAGTGGTTATAGACAATGATACAGATGATAGAGGAGACTTGCCAAGTTTGAAGCTGATAAAGTAGGAAGGTTTAAAAAGAGCTTCAATGGAAAATAAAAACGGATTAGCTACATAATCTTTGCTATTTTAGGGACTTAGACAGTAAGGTAATTTAGGCCACGGAGGAAGCTGCTATGTTTACTTTAAAAAAAAAATTATCTACCTGTAAAAGACAAGTAAACAAGTACATCAAAGTAATAAAACACTAGGCTGTTGGCTAAGAAAATGAAGGACATTGTGTTTCACAAAGTATTAATTTTTATAATATCTGAAATATCTTCTATAACTAATTTTCAACACCAAAAAATATAGTCACTCAATATAGAGTATCTTTATTTTCACCACGGTTTAGTGAACAAAGACCTAGGAATGTTCTCATGGAATTGAGAAGAGATTTTCTTCTGCCTGTTTCCTTGAGGGCATTCATAATCTCATACAATCCTTTATTTCCATCCAAGAGCTATTAAGGGTTTATTCTTTGCCAGACCTTGTATTGAGTCCTGCATTTAATGTCCATACCTTTTAACACTGTCCTCTTAGTACAGAGAGAGACATATACCCAAACAAGTATACTATAATACCTTAAGTGGAAAGGTGCTATAAATTAGATTTAAATAAAATGTTTTGGTAACAGAGAGAAGGAAGGAATAAATTCCCATTTGTCGGGGGTAAGTTTGAAGAAAGGATATAGAGGAGGGGAGTATATATAAAAAGTTTCACAGAAAAAATTATGGTAGAATTGAACATACGAAAATGAACAGGATTTCTCCAGGTACATAAAAGAGCATTAATAGTTAGAAAAAACAATATAAGCAGAAGTTCACAAATATGTAAAAAACCTAGCATGTTGAAAAATAGTCTGCCATTTGGTTCACTAAAATATATGACAGAATGTTGCTTACACTTGTTTTGAAGGTCTATAAATATAATACCATGGAGTATGATTTTATTTCGTGGATATTAGGGAACCCTTACAGTTTGTAAGCAAAGTAATATGGCCATCTGTACTGTCTGGGAATAAAACTGACGGTACAGAAGGTGGTGTAGACTGAAAGCAGAGAGACCAGTTAATTCAGGTGCCCAAGCACGGAACAGGACAGCTGTATTAGTACTATTACTTTCAGGGGTCTGAGAGATCATATAATAGTCTTCATCCTTTATGAAGCCCTAGGGTGCTTCAGGAGCCACATAGAAAGGGCGGGGATGGAAGTGTACATAATACTGTGGGCCCCTAAACCCCTCCTTATGTTTTAAATTTTCTCCTTTTATTTTCGGTTGACATGTAATGATTATACATATTTATGGGATATGGAGTAATATTTCAATACATATATACAATGTATAATGATCAAATCAGAGTCATTAGCATATTCATCACCTCAGACATACATTTATCATTTGTGTTGAGAACATTCAAAATCCCCTCTTGTAGCTTTTTGAAAATATGCAGCAAGTTCTGGCTAACCATATTCACCCCACAGTTATGCAGAACACCAGAACTCATTCTTCCTACCCAGTTGTAATTTTGTATCCATTAACTAGGCTGCTCATCCTCCCTTCCTCTCTATTTTTTCCACTTCTAATACCCACAGTTCTACTCTCTACTTCCATGAGCTCAAAAAAACTTTTTGGCTCTCACATATGAAAAAGAACATGCTATATTTATCTTTCTGTATATGACTGTTTTCACTTAATGTAATGTCCTCCAGATTTATCCATGTTGCTGCTAATGTAGAATTTCATTCGTTTTTATGGCTGAGTAGTATTCCGTGTGTGTGTGTGTGTGGTGTGTGTGTATAAAACACTTTTAAAATCCGTTATTCTGTTGATGGACATTTTTCTTGAGTATCCTTACGTGTTATGAATAGTGTTGCAGTACACATGGGGGTACAGGTACGTTTTTAACATAGTGAGTTTTTTTTCCTCTGGATAAATACCCAGTGGTGGGATTGCTAGATGGCATGGTAGTTCTATTTTTAGTTTTTTGAGAAACGTCCATACTGTTTTCCATAATGGCTGTACTACTTTACATTCCCACGTATGATGTATAAAAGTTCTCTTTTCTCTTCATCATCATCAGCATTTTTTGTCGTTGGTCTTTTTAATAGACATTTTAACCTGTGCGAAATAATATATCATTGTGGTTTTTATTTACATTTACCTGAAGATTAGTGATGCTGAACATTTTTTCACATACTTGGCCATTCACATGTCTTTTGAGAAATGTCAATTCTGTTCCTTGACTACTTTTTAATTGGATTATTTCTGGTTTTGCTGTTGAATTGTTTTGAGTTCCTTATATATTCTGGATATTAGTTCCTTGTCAGATGCATAAAACTAGATCCCTATCTCACCATATACAAAAATTAACTGAAAGTAGATAAGACCCTAAACTATAAAACTGCTAGAAGAAAGCATAGGGGAAGCGCTTCAGGACTTGAGTCTGGGCGAAAATTTTATGGCAAAGACTACAAAGCACAGGCAACAGAGAAGAAAATAGATAAATGGGACTATATTAAACTAAAAGCTTTTGTACAGCAAAGGAAACAGTCAACACAGTGAAGAGACAACCGTACAGTAGGGGAAAATATTTGCAAACTCCTACTTAAAGAACTTCTGATTTTGTCTGATATGTACCCTGACCTTGTGAATGTAAGTTTGCTTGTAATATATATATACATATCACATATATAAAAATACATATTTGTGTGTATGTGTGTCTATGCTATGGCTAAAAACAAGTTGGAAACCATTTAGTAGCCTAACATTTTTCTAAGAATTTCTCAGCCATGTAATCATATAGCCCCTTCCAGAGTGCCAGGGAGCTCATTATCACAAAAGAAAGTCAGTTCCACTGTTAAAAAGATTCCAGTTGATTACAGAGTTCTCCTGGAATGGAAATTAAGGAGTGTTATTAGTCTTATACACAGTAAACATATCATTAACCTTACATTTTTAAGTCTTTAACCTTACATTTCTATCCACAGAATTTCCAGTTCCACTGTTTTTCTTTGTGGCTGGAAAGAGTTTAAATATGTGTATGTTAGTTTACCATATAGAATCAAAGGGTGGATGGAGTCACAACTCTGAATTTTTCAAGAAAAGGTCTTAGGTATTAAGTAAAAAACAAATAATCCCATTTAGAAAATGGAAAAAAGACACGAGCAGACGCTTCTCAAAACGTACTAGAAGCCAGCAAACCAATGAAAAAATGCGTATCACTAATTATCGGAGAAATGCAAATCAAAACCACAGTAAGACACTATCTTACAGCAGTTACAGGGCTGTCATTAAAAAGTAAAAAAACAACAGATGCGGGCCGGGCGCGGTGGCTCACGCCTGTAATCCCAGCACTTTGGGAGGCCGAGGCGGGTGGATCACGAGGTCAAGAGATCGAGACCACCCTGGTCAACATGGTGAAACCCCGTCTCTACTAAAAATACAAAAAATTAGCTGGGCAAGGTGGCGCGTGCCTGTAATCCCAGCTACTCAGGAGGCTGAGGCAGGAGAATTGCCTGAACCCAGGAGGCGGAGGTTGCGGTGAGCCGAGATGGTGCCATTGCACTCCAGCCTGGGTAACAAGAGTGAAACTCCATCTCAAAAAAAAAAAAAAAAAAGATGCTGGTGAGGCTGTGGAGAAAAGGGAACTGCTTATACACCGTTTGTGAGAATGTAACTTCAGCTACTATGGAAACCAGTTTAGAGATTTCTCAAAGAACTTACAACAGAACTACCATTAGACCCAGTAAACCCATTAATGGATTTATACCCAAAAGGAAACAAATCTTTCTACTAAAAATCATGCACTTGCATGTTCATTCTAGCACTATTCACAAGAGCAAAGACATCAACCAAGGTACATATTAGTGCTGAATTGGATAAAGAAAATGTAGTACATGTACAGCATGGAATACTATGCAGTCATAAAAAGGAATGAAATCAACGGAGTTGGAAGTCATTACCTAAATGAGTTAATGCAGGAACAGAAAACTAAATACTCTGTATTCTCACTTACAAGTTTATAAGCTAAACATTGGGCACTCATGGACAAAAATACACTGAGGCCTTACTAGAGGGGGAGGCAAAGATGGGGGCAGGCCTGAAAAACTATTGGGTACTATGCTTAATACCTGGGTGATGAGATTGTTCGTACCCCAGACCTCAGCATTATGCAATATACCCAGATAACAAACTCTTACATATACATCCTCAAGCTAAAATACAAGTTTAAAATGTTAGTTGAAGAATTGTGTAATTGGCTGAGCTCGGTGGCTCACTCCTGTAATCCCAGCACTTCGGGAGACTGAGGTGGGTGGATCATCACTTGAGGTCAGGAGTTTGAAATCAGCCTGGCCAATATGGTGAAACCCCATCTCTACTAAAAATACAAAACTTGGCTGGGCATGATGGTGGGTGCCTGTAAGCCCAGCTGTTTGAGAAGCTGAGGTGCAAGAATTGCTTGAACCTGGGAGGTGGAGGTTGCTGTAAGCTGAGATCACACCACTTCACTCCAACCTGGGTAATCTGGGTGATAGAAAGAGATTCTGTCTCAAAAAAAAAAAAAAGAAAGAAGATTATGTAGTGGATGAAAAATTATAATAAATATGTCTAAATATTCCTTTTGGAATACACTACTAATAATGGGAAGATGTTTGCTTTCTGATTCCAAGTATTTGTGGTTTTAAATTGACTTTTTTATTTGGCCAGCTTTTAAGTGCTTAGGCTAGACATTTTTAAAAGTTTGCATGGTAGGGGCGGTGGCTCACGCCTCTAATCTCAGCACTTCGGGAGTCCGAGGCGAGGGGATCATGAGGTCAGGAGTTTGAGACCAGCCTCACCAACATAGTGAAACCCTGTCTCTACTAAAAATATTTAAAAAATTAGTTGGGCATGGTGGTGCGAACCTATAGTCCCAGCTACTAGGGAGGCTGAGGCAGGAGAATCGCTTGAACCTGGGAGGCAGAGGTTGTGGTGGGTCGAGATTGTGCCACTGCACTTCAGGCTGGTCAACAGAGCGAGACTCCATCTCAAAAAAAAAAAAAGTTTGCATGGTACAGAAATTCTGCTTTAACCTGTTGTCAATAATATTACTTTATAGCCAACTTTGTCTTGCCTTTTTTTTTTGTCTCACCAGCTACATTATTGAGCAGGGGGTGTGTTATTTGGTTTTATGTGAAGCTGCCTTCCCTAAGAAGCTGGCTTTTGCCTACCTAGAAGATTTGCACTCAGAATTTGATGAACAGCATGGGAAGAAGGTGCCCACTGTGTCCCGACCCTATTCCTTTATTGAATTTGGTAAGTTTTTGCCCCTACTTCTCTCTATCAAGGGGGCAGACACGCTGATATAATATTGATACATTTTTTGTGATGTTTACTTATTGAAGTTTTAACTTCTGCTTTCTTTTCCATTCTACTTCTTTTTGTCTTTTTAAATGATTAAGGCTTCCTTCTGAAAAGTAATTTTCTCTAGTCTTTTGATCTTTCCCCCGTAGAAATTGTTGTCTTTTGCCCATCTCTGTTGTTTGGTTTGACTCTTCATTGGAGTCACATGTGGCAGGTACTGTGCCTAAATGTCTACTTGATTGGCACATTATGGCTGAGTTCTTTACCCCAGTCATAGACTACGCTCACAGTAAGGCTCATTTTATGGAGATCAGAATTGGGAAATCAGAAAGAGTGGTGTGTTGTTTCTTTTAGTAGAATAAGATCCTGTAATTAAAAAAAAACAAAGAAATAGAAGATACATGGTATCCATGGTATTGGAGTATAATATTTACTATATTTAGGAATAGTGAGCATAGATGTCTGTATTTGTACAAGAATTGTAGAAAGGCTAATCACTAATCAGACCTGGTAAAGTATCTGAGGGCAAGGGATCAAAGGAAATGTCCCAAGTACAGGGCGTGAGAACAAGTAGGATCAGACTATATCGCTGACATTTTTAGTTACAAGGGAAATTAGTGTTACTCTCTCAGAATTTCTGAAGTGTTTCAAGTTTGCTAGCTAAATGGGTCATCTTGCTTTTAAGAAATAGAGAATGTGTGGGAAAACACTCGTGTTTAATAACTACACACTCTCCAAGTGCTGGTTTATATAATGTCCAGTTTTTCAAATTTTATTTTTTAGACAGTAGTAGTGCCGTAAACTACCCCCGAAAATAAGACAAATGTGTCAGGGTCATACAGGAAACAAATGGTATATGCAAATTAGCTTAAGGGAGTATATACAAAGATATGAATAGGCTGTATAGAGAATTACAAGGTACAGTAACCTCGGACCAGTAGCATACTGGTTATTACTATTCCTAGGCCTGAAGGTATAAGGGGAAGGAGCAGTTTCTGAAACTAAAAAGGAGAAAATTTCTGGAGAAGGCCAACTTGAGAGGAGCAGTAACTTGGTAGAGGGATACTGCCAGAAGGATCCTTCCTTCTCTGAAAGGAGCCAGGGGAATAAATACCCTGATGTCACTGTCTGTTCTCCTCCTTCCCTACTGTTGGGGCTCTTTCACTGCCTGAACCTAACTGACAGGGCCTCTTTTGAGGCCCTCCATACAAGTCAGCTTCCCAGCAGAAAGGAGATCTAAAAAGGCAATAAATGAGTCCAGCACACATAAATTAAGCTTCTTGCCAAAAGTTGAATATATCTTTAATAATAAGTCATTCTTCTTACAGTTTTGAGAAATACTGATATGAGCAAAAGATGGACGAGAATTCAGATTTATTTATTTATTTATTTATTTATTTATTTATTTATTTAGAGAGAGTTGCGCTCCATCCCCCAGGCAGGAATGCAGTGGTGTGATCTCAGATCACTGCAACCTCCACCTCCCAGGTTCAAACGATTCTTGTACCTCAGCCTCCTGAATAGCTGGGACTAGAGATGCATGCCGCCTTGCCCACTAGCTAATTTTTGTATTTTTGGTAGAGATGGGACTTTTGCCATGTTGGCCAGGATGGTCTCGAATTTCTGGCCTCAGGTGATTCACTCACCCTGGCCTCCCAAAATGCTGGGATTACAGGTGTGAGCCACAGTGCCTGGCCAAGACTTCAGTTTTATATTGGTATTTTGGAAAACTCCCTATTACATATTTGCTTTACCTGAGGTTTAAGAATGGAATGAACCTGGTAATGTGTATTAGAGAATATACTTTAAGGCAGTGTTTAAGCTTTTTAATGATCATGAACTCTTTTGCCATGTTAGGCTCTAATGATGCTAGAGTGTTACCAGTATCCTTTTAAGTAATGTGTAGAGTTAAGTAAACCTAAGGGTCCTCAGAATAAATACTGTTTGAAAATTTCTGTTTTTAGGAAAGGCTTACTATAGAGGGTCTTAATTTCCCTAAGCCTTCTGATAGCAGCCTTAGATAGCAAATCTTATACTTCAAAGGTATCCAAAGGACATTGCTTCTGAAGGGTCATCTAGTTATACCTTTACATTTTACAAATAAAAATGTAAACTACCCCCGAAAATAAGACAAATGTGTCAGGGTCATACAGGAAACAAATGGTATATGCAAATTAGCTTAAGGGAGTATATACAAAGATATGAATTAGGCTGTATAGAGAATTACAAGGTACAGTAATTCAACCTAGATTTTGATATTCAACCTAGAGTTTGATTAACCATGGACAGTGGCAAATTCAGGAATAAACTCCGAACTTTTTTTTTTTTTTTTTTTGAGATGTAGTCTTGCTCTGTCACCTAGGCCAAAGTGCAGTGGTGTGATTTCGGCTCACTGCAACCTCTGCTTCCTAGGTTCAAGCAATACTCCTGCCTCATCCTCCCAAGTTGCTGGGATTACAGGCACGCACCACCATGCTTGGCTAATTTTTTGTATTTTTAGTAGATACAGCGTTTCACCATGTTAGCCAGGATGGTCTTGATCTCCTGACCTCGTGATCTGCCCACCTCGGCCTCCCAAAGTGCTGAGATTACAGGCGTTAGCCACCACGCCCAGCCAACTCAGAACTTTTAATTTCCTACTTCAGTACTTTGAACGCCTTTAAAGAAATGGTTCATGGTCACTTTTCTTATCATTCAGATACCTTCATTCAGAAAACCAAGAAGCTCTACATTGACAGTCGTGCTCGGAGAAACCTAGGCTCCATCAACACTGAATTGCAAGATGTGCAGAGGATCATGGTGGCCAATATTGAAGAAGTGCTACAACGAGGAGAAGCACTCTCAGGTATCTAAAAGCAATGAGTCTTATGAAGAAATGGTTCTCATTCCATAGACAAGGATAGCTTATTTTGCAGTGCCTTTTATGCTGTTAGATTCTACCTAGAACTGTTAAGAATTTATCTCCCAGAAGGACATTACATTACAATGCTTCCAATAGGGTATGTTTTTTTCCTAGCATGATTAGTTTTTGTTGAGTTGGAACAACGTAAATCCATATTCAAAGCAATGATTATTTCTAAGATATTGACAAAATTAAGTAATTTATATACGGAAACACTTGTAAAAGTTAAGGGAAATGAAAAGAATGAGAAATTGTCAAGGATTTATTGCAGTGGTTTCTTGAGTAGCCTCTTTGGGGGAGACTATGGCCACCAGATCAATCTTTATAAAATGCCATTTTCATCAGACATTCCTCCCTGGAAAACTTAAATCTGGGACTGCAAGATAAGATCCAGTCTGACTTATTTTTCAGTCAGTCTTTGCTTGTTATTTGGAAGGCATTGTGCTCTATACATGGAAAATAAGGAGAATGCAAATGTCTGTCACTCTAGTTCACAAACATTCTGCTGCAGCCAGGCCAGCTTCTTCACTATCCTTAGTTGTCTATTCTGCCTCCTGCTGGAACTGTTCTATAAGACCTCCGTAAGAACTGCCTTTTTAAAGAAGCCTTCTCTAATGTGACAGGCTGTATCACATTAATCTCTTCTGTACTTTAAACTCCTAAAGCACTTAGTAACATGTTTTTAGCACATATTATATGTGTGTATGTTTACCTAATTTACCTTAAATATGCATATTTAATATATTTCCATATAAGATAAATATACATTTTATATATTTAAATATTTATGTTAAAGTAGATAAACATTTGTATAATTAAATAATTTTATATAATTTCATATATTTATGTTTTTGAGACAGGGTCTTGCTCTGTTGCCCAGACTGGAGTGCAGTGGCAGAATCTTGGCTCACTGCAACTTCCAACTCCTGGGATCAAGTGATCCTCCCACCTTAGCCTCCTGAGTAGCTGGGGCTACAGGCATGTGCCACCATGCCTGGCTAATTTTTGTATTTTCTTGGTAGAGATGGGGTTTTGCCATGTTGTCCAGGCTGGTCTCAAACTTCTGGGCTTAATCCACCCGCTTCAGCTTCCCAAAGTGCTACAATTACAGGCATGGGCCACCACACCTACCCTTTATATAATTTAAAAAGTGTAGGTAATTAGGTTAAATTAGATTAAAAGTATATGTATATTTACCTGAAATTTAAGTATTATATTACCTAAGTGTTTAATGTGAACATGTAAGCTCTTTGAAGATAGTGTTTATGTGTTTTACATCTGTTTCACATACTTCTTATATAACCCCCACAGTAATGGTCACAAATAGGTTCCTTAATAAGTATTTTTTAATTCAGCCATGCTATATATTCATTAGTAAATGGGTTTTCTTTTATTATGAACTACAAACTAACCTTTCTGTGAGTAGTGAGCAGTTATCCATTTACCTTCACACTCTTTAAATATCAAATTTTGAGTGAGTGAGTGAGTGTGTAAGTTTTTGTCATACAGACTTACAATTCCTATATGAGATAAAGTAGATTAGCACAGAAATTTTTTGTGTATCACCCATGCAAGACTAAATTCCATAAAGGCAGGGATCATGTACATTTTGCTCATTGTTGTATCCTTTGCACTTCACGCGGTGCCTGTAACATAAATGTTTATTAAATAACTTTGAGCAATAGCTTTGTCTTTATGTTATCCTGTGTTTCAGAATATTCATATATAAATTCTCCCAACTATGACTTGTTTCATATGGTCTAATAATTGTTTCTCTGCTGAGTTATTCTCAACAAGTTTAGATTCATTTAGCAAATGTTTATTGTGCACTAACTATATACCAGGCCCTGTTCTGGGCACCCAGAATATAGCAGGAAACACAATAATTTAAAATCCCTGCCCAGTGGAGTGTGTATTCTAGTAGACTCTGTAAAAAGATGCCCTGAGCATTGTCATGGTTATTTCTCCCTGACTTTTGTGACTAGATGTTTTTCTTACTCATGTGATCAGTTGCTAGTTCAGACATGGCTGTCATGCCTGTGTCATTAAGTAATGCCATGTTTCCCAATCAAAACCAGTCTCTATTAAGCAACTCCAAATATTCCAAAAGCATGCTGATTGCAAAATCGCTTTTCTGAAATTTAAAGAAGTGAAGAGTTTGATCAGAATTTATTATGTCCAATGGAGAGTTTGTGTTTATTTTTAAAATATACCGTATATTTTAATCTGGTTTAGCTCTTGTCTATCTGGCTATTTCTCAAAGTGCTTAGTTACTTATTATAAGATAGCAACATTGCAAATGTCCTTAGGGGTGAAAAAACTTGCCAGAAAATGCTAAAAAGCTTAACTGATTTTGGGGTTTTTTTGGTGGTACTTTTTATTGTGTTTTAGTTGTAACTAAATACAATAACTAAATTTATATTTCCTATGTCTATTGAAATATAAATGTTAATTTTAAATTCACAGTAGTCTTTACTATGTGGAGAGTCTTAGAAATTTTAGCAGTCATCATTGAAATGTAGCTTAAGACTGTGTTTGGTTAATTGAATTTTCTGATTGAGTTTGTTTTACATGGATCATCATTATCGTTTTTCAAAATATGAGATAATATGATTCAGACCATTAAAAGATTATGAAGATAATAATGATTAGCATGTAATAATTATTGTACTTTAGCATATGGAGGCATTGTTGCTCACTTTACAGGCAATTTCATGTACATACAACCTATGACATGGTTGCTGTTATTATCCCCATTTTAGAGATAAAGAAACTAGGTTTTAAATAGGTTGTGACTTGACCAACATCACATGACTGGGACAGGTGATATCTGAACCTGCACTTCTAACCACCTTACTATATAGCCTCAAAAATTCAGACATAATCTGACCTGGTAATTTTAAACTATATTATAGATATTACAGTGTTTCAGGAGCATCAGTTAACTTGTATAGGAAATGTTACCTTTAAAATAAAAATGATAATTCAAGATTCATGGTTGTTGCAGTGCTACTCATTTTGGTTATTTTTAATGCCTTAATACTTTTTCAGGGACTAATTTAATGTTTTCCTTTTTTCTTCTTTGACAGCATTGGATTCAAAAGCTAACAATTTGTCCAGTCTGTCCAAGAAATACCGCCAGGATGCGAAGTACTTGAACATGCGTTCCACGTATGCCAAACTTGCAGCAGTAGCTGTCTTTTTCATCATGTTAATAGTGTATGTGCGATTCTGGTGGCTGTGAAATGATGAATACAGTCACTGGTAAGGGAGAACCTAGAACCCAGTAGGTGTATATTTTCAGGAAACTGAGCTCACGGAGATGTGTATTAGAATCCAAGCGGAACTTCTGCCTCTGAAGACTTTGCAAGAAAAGACATGTCCTGAAAATGAAAGGTTACGCCATATTAAATGAAGCTTAACCCTATGTGGAACGTCTCTTTCGGGGGCAGAGGCTTTCTCTGGGTGCTAAGCCATATGTGTTAGGGAACAGTAGATTGTTACTTTGTTTTTTTCCCTCCCAGTACATTTTAGAAATGGCACTGACTGGGGCATTCTTATTCTCTAATGGAGCCAGCAATGAGATTTAATTTAGCCAGCCTGTGCTAGCAGCATTCTGAAATTCCTTCAAAGAAGGCAGTCCTTTTGGAAGGGGTTTTTTTTTTGTTGTGTTTTTTTTTTGTTGTTTGTTTTTTGACTCTAATCAACATTCCTTTTGTTGGTAACATTTGTGATTTTGAGTAATATGAGTTTTTGATGGCCTTTTAAACAAGACTCCAGTATGTGAAGGTTAATTGCTGTGCTCTACAGATCTTGTCTATTGGCCCCTGTAGAAAGTTATCCTTTGTTGTTTTCCTTTTATAAATTGCTTATTGCACAATTGCTTTAGGGTTAAATGAATTATATTAATATGCCTTGAAATTATAGCACTCCTTGATTAAGAAGCTGAAATATTTCTCTCATTTACTCCTTAAACAAAAGACTAAAATTAGTTTGGGACATTGTTAGTTTTATTTTGAAGCATCTGATTTGTATTAGTATAAGAGCAAGTATAGCATATGCTTAAATGAGGTCCTTGTCTTCATGAGAAGAAAGGAAGACCCAGGTTATAATTACAGCCTTCTCCTGCCCCTTCTTTACTTTCTCTACCACAATTTTCTCCACTGTTTGTTTTCCTCCTCCCACAATTTGCTAACATTTAAAAATTTTTCCTGCACCCAGTAGTTTCATGTCCTGTAGACATCCTCTTAGGGCATTCTCAAATTTCAAAATAAAAAATATTAATCTATATAGCTAATTAAAGTTTTTGCAGTACTCAAACTACTAAATACATTTGCCTGAGAAAAAGTCTCTGTTTTAGTTCATGTAAATTCTCTGAGAATGTTCTAGAGATAGATAACTCATTTATAGTGGTTTCTATTAACTAATTAAAGTACCCATGATTTTTTCCTTTACTGCTCAGGGATGATGAGGATTTCCTTTTACCTTCTGAGGTAGAATTTTTTAATGAGGAGAATAGGCCTTTTAAATATTATCGCAGGGGTCTACAATATAACTTAAAACTCCTATACGTACTGCAAATATTTCTTTAAATTGTATGGGAAAACGAGCCAACTTATTTCTTAATATCTTTGGCGAGAACTTTAACCAGCAAGCAATTTTATAACCCTGAGGGATCATCAAAGATACTATCCTGATTGCTGGTAAGGAAAAAAATATTTTTCCTTATAACAAGGCAAGGAGAAATGCTATTTTATTCCTCATAATTTATAGAACTACAAAAATTTTTTTCTTTTATGGACCTAAATCTGCCAATTGGGAATTTTGTGCATGAAATATGAAGTTACTTTTTATAGATAATAAGTGCTTTTAAGTCCCCAAAAGACTCCTCCGTAAGTAATGATGATGTTGATAATAAAAGCCTTTGACGGGCTGAAATCCTAAATAGTGGTACCATAGTATTTGGTGCTTCTAAAAGAGTGGAAAGGGGCAGCTCATTGTTTAGAGTTGCATGCTGCAACCTATAATGGTCAGCACTGAAATAAATGCTTCTAGAATGTTCACTTCAGTGTGAAGTTTTGTTATCTAGTTAACTTATACACATATATCCTTTGTAGATACATTTCTGTCTAATCTTGGTAGGCTAAGAAAGAAGGGATGGGGTGAATGTCAGCAGAGGAACAAGAAAGTAGTTTAAGATCAGGGTAGCAGAAAGATGAGAGAGCAAGACTGTCATAATATGGCTCCTGGTGTTCTTTATAAGAGGCAGTGGGAAGATCTGACTAGATGAAATGTATCAGTAACCAAACTGGCATCTAAAACAGAATGGGGTAAATAGCATATGGGGTTATTGGAGGCACAGTAAGAAAGGACACCTAGTCTGTTTTGGGAAGGAGTAGGGTAAGAGAAGACTTTGTGGAGAAGGAGAATAGGGCATTCGAGGGAGAGTCAATGGCATGTGCAAAGGCATGAATAAAGAGAGAGCAAAGCATATTTTGGAAACTTAACGGCTTGGTTCAGCTTAGCCCGTAGGGCAAGCATAGTCAACAGAGGAGAGTTGAGGAATGAAAACTAGATTGGTACACCATCATAAAAGGACTTGTCTTATCATGCTAAGGAGGTTAGACTATGTTAATGGCAGTGGCAAAGGATGGCATCAGATTTATAGTTTCAAGTGATCATTTTGGCCTTGGCATAAAAGATATATTAGGAAGGGATAAGCCTGGAAGTGGACAGATGAAAATAAGGAGCCATCAAATGCAGAATGAAGCTCAGGCAGATTTCAAGTGATTTTCAAGAAAGATGTGATCAGAAATACCAGATAATAACTCTTACATAACACTGTGTTAGGGCTTATTTCTCACACTGACTCAGCATTTTCTTACATAGCACTTCTTAGGGCTTATTTCTCACACTGACTCGGCATTTTCTTACATAGCACTTCGTTAGGGCTTATTGCTCACACTGACTCAGCATTTTCTTACATAGCACTTCGTTAGGGCTTATTTCTCACACTGACTCGGCATTTTCTTACATAGCACTTCGTTAGGGCTTATTTCTCACACTGACTCGGCATTTTCTTACATAGCACTTTGTTAGGGCTTCTTGCTCACACTGACTCGGCATTTTCTTACATAGCACTTAGGGCTTCTTGCTCACACTGACTCGGCATTTTCTTACATAGCACTTCGTTAGGGCTTCTTGCTCACACTGAGTCAACATCCTGAAGTAAGTACTCTTCATACCACTATATAAATAAGCTTCACAAAGGGTTCTGCTGTGAGGCATGACAGAGTTAAGTAATTTGCCCAAAGTCACAGAATTAGAAAGTAATAGAGCTAAGATTTGAACTTAGGTAGTTTAGCTCCAGAGTCTGTACTCTTAACCACTATGCCACCACCAAGAGGTCATATAAAATAAGTACCAAAAAATGTATTTTTGAATTTAACAACCAGGAACTTAATCATACAGGCAGAAGTAATTCCAGCACACTGGGGACAGAAGCCAGATTGCCATATGGGTTAAAGAGTGTGTAAACCACTAGGAAGTGAAGACACAGAACTACTCAAGTGTTTTTCTGGTTATTATGACACTGAACTTCATGGCTTGTTTTAATTAAACATCTTACAAATGTCAAAATTTAGAAATATTTGGACATTGTACACACTCTGGTTATTTAAATGTCTAACAATGATTCTTAAGCATTTTGAGAAACCTTTAAAAATCTGATGAAAGGTATGTGCCATTACTCCAGAAAAATGCTCCTGTGTACATGCACACCAAGTACCATATACTGTTTCAGGCTGTTCAAGGACTACAAAGTCTGTTCATGACCTAGTGGTCCACGTTTCCTCAGTTAAAAGCTCCAGAGATACAGGATGTGGAACTCAAAGGTAAGTACCCAGAGCCTTGAAAACTCCAGTTATGGTGACTTGGAAGAATTCTACAATTTGAATTAACTTTGTGGAGAGATGTATTTTTGAAAAATTGTATGTACCCAAAAAAAGTCATATCAAATAATATTTTCCTGTAGTGTATTCAAGGGTCTGGTTCCACAGAAAAATACTGTTTTGGTCTCAGTTCCTCAAAATCACATTTAAGGAGCTTGAGATTTATATTTTCCACTTAAGTCTTAGAAAAGCTAGTTAGGAAGGAAAATAATCATTTCTGCACACATAGGATTTAGTAAAACATGTATAATAAAACATCTCATATCTTAAATTTCCACCTTGTGTTGGTAGCTTTCATGACGAAGGGCTCAGGTATTGGTGGCTGTACAATTAAGGTTTTTGGTAGTGAAGTTAGCAGAACTAGTGATGGGTTTTTTCCTCCAGATAGCTCAGCAGGAAGGTAAATAGCAGTCATTGCGTGTGTGACAAATTTTGAGATAAAATGAGCAAATTGAATCTCACCTCCTATTTATATTACTGTCAGGCAGGATTCACCTAGCAGTGTAAAACTATCTCAGCCAATTTAGTCACTCGGTTCTCATAAAGTGTGTTTCAAGTACTGTAACAATCATGTTCAGATTAGAAAAATCACTAGAAATTTGCCTTCTATATAGTAATCTATGCTTTTTTCTCTCATTTCCTTCATTTTTTGAGCACTAAGTATTAGGCATTTTACAGGTATAATTACAATTCTTAGAAGCATTTTCTGTGCTTGCCCAAGGTCACATAGCTAGCAGGTTAAAGCAGATTGAAATCCAGGCCTGCTAGACACCAAATTATTATTTAAGAGTACTTTTCACTACTCCTAAATAATGACACAGACACGTTTGTCTTATGCACTTCACTCGTACTGTCAGGTTAGTATGTTTATTTTGGAAAGTGTTTTTTACAATTTCTTTGTATTATTTCAGTACCTTTTAAATTCATTACCTCTTCTTTATTCTTTTTAAATAGTTTTTTGCTTTTGCTATTTTGTTCTCCCTTTTTTACTCTTGGCTTGTAATACAGCTTTCCTCATTTGCTCCTTTCTCATTTGATCTCAAAATTAATCGAACCGTTTTCTACATCTGATTCACTAGAATTTTAGCCATTTAAAAAAATCCCATTTTTCTATGTCCTTTTGCCCATTCTCTTCTCTTTGCCTCACTTCTTTTATTTTTCCATTTTACTTTCTTTTTCTTGTTGTTGCTTTCATTTTTTGTTTCCCTAGATGTTGTTTTACATACAGATTAATGTACTGCTGCAATTCTGCATCTATAAATTAGAGCTTCAGAATCAACTGGGTGTATTTATTCTTTATTTTTAGGCCTAAATTTATATTACCTTTTACTGATTTTATAATATACTGTGCTCTTTCATTTTAGTCTGCACATTAGCCAAAGAAGATAGGCCGCATTTTAGGAAATCTCTTTGTAAAAAATGTCAAGCATGGCAAGAATTCTCCAAGAAACAAGCTCCTCTAATTTGTCTTCTGTGTTTAGAGCTTCAACCGTTGATTGTATTACTCATAACTCCCCAGCATACCCTCAAACTTGTGTTTTGCACCCAAGTTTTTTTGCTTTTTCTATATCTGCTATTGACTATCCCATAAATACTTAATTGCATCTAAAATATATTACCTCCACTCCATTGCTCAAAGATGAAACCAAACCTGTGCTTCTTACTATATTTCCAATATTTAGGCATCACTTGCCATTCCTGTACCTGAGCTACATGTCATGAATTGTATTACACGCCTCTGTTTTCTTCTTTCACCTCTAACGGGACTGTTGACCAAAATCTTTTTTTTATATAACTTTCAAAAGGTATTTCATTTATTACGTCATTTCCATCCTTTATGTTTCGGGTTTAAGCACTCATTAACGTTAACATGGATTCTTGCAGTATCCTCCTTACTGATTTTGTTACATGTCCCTCTTTTATGTCAGTACCACCATGATAATACCATGGATAATTTTTTTAATGCTAATCATACTGCATTTTCTTTAGAATAAAAGATCAAATACTCTAGTTTGCCATTCGTAGTCTGGCCCCATTGTACCATTCTAGACTCATCTCCTGCCACTACCCACCACTCTTATTTTGTTTAAAATTAAGCTAGCTTCTCAAACCAGTCAAGCACTTTACCTTGTACTTTGGCTCAGTGTATGCCTTTTCTCCAGAATATCTTTCTGTATACTTCTCTCCCACCCTTTTCCCTTTAAACCTGCTGCTATGGCTTGGATGTTGTTTGGCCACTCCAAAACTCATGTTATAATTTTATTGCCAATGAAATAGTAGAAGATGGTACTTTTAAGAGGTAATTAGGTTGCTAAGATGGATTAACATCTTTTTCTTCACACTGAGACTGGGTTAGTTCTCATGGATATGGTTAGTTCTCAAGAGAGTGAATTGCTATAAAACAATGCTGCCTCTTCTGTTTTGCACTTTTTGTTTGCACATACTCGGTCCTCTTCTGTTTCTCTACCATGTTTTGATGCAACATGAGGCAATCATGAGAAGCCACCCAATACAGCTGCCTGATCCTGAATTTTCCAGCCTACAGAACCATGTGCTAAATAAAACTCTTTTTAATAAGTTACCTGCTCTCAGGTATTCTGTTATAGCAACAGAAAACAGTTTAAGATACCTGCTGGGCTCCTAACCTTGAGGGGCTAGAAAACAAAGCCAGAGGTCCAATACCAGCCTCTGCAGAGTTAGAACACACAGCTCACGAGTGCTGAGCTCAGCCGTTGCCCCTAAAATCTTGCAGAAATGATGCCAGGTGGCTGAACCCAGTGTAGACAACAATCAAACCAAGGGCATAAAAGAAGACAAAGGCAGGAAAACCTATCCAAGAAACAGCAACTTCAAAGGTTGAAGCAATATCAGACCAGGCAGATGAGAACCAGCAAAAGAACTCTGGCAATCTGAAAAGCCAGAGTGTCTTCTCACCTTCAAACAACTGCAGTATTTCACTAACAGTGGTTCTTTATTTCCCCAACATTGGTTCTTAACCAGGCTAACATGACAGAAAGAGAGTTCTGAATATGGGTAAGAATGAAGATCATTGAGATTCGGGAAAAAGTTGAAACCCAGTCAAAGGCTTCTAAGGAATACAATAAAACAATACAGGACATGAGAGATTGAATGGCCATCTTAAGAAACAACCACATTGAACTGATAGAGCTGAAAAACAAAGAATTTCAGAATATAGTTGCAAGTATTAATAGCAGAATCAATGAAGCTGAGGAAAAGATCGGAGAACTCAAAAGATTGGTTCTCCTAAAGAATTCAGACAAAAATAAAAAAAAAAGATTAAAGACAAATGAACAAAACTTCTGAGAAATACAGGATTATGTAAAGAGACCAAATCTATATCTCATTGGCATGCATGAAAGACAGGGAGGAAAGCAACAACTAGGAAAACATTTCTGGATATCATCCATGAACACTTTTCCAACCCTGCTAGAGAGGCCAACATTCAAGTTCAGGAAATGCAGGGAACCCCTGCAAGATACTATACAAGATGACCATCCCCAAGACACATAGTCATCAGATTCTCCAAGGTTGAAATCAATGAAAAAATGTTAAAGGCTAGAGAGAACAGGCAGATCACCTACAAAGGGAGCCCCATTAGGCTAACAGCTGACCTTTCAGCAGAAACACTACTAGCCAGGAGACATTGGGGTCCTATATTCAGTATTCTTAAATTCTAACCAATTTCATACCCAGGCAACTAAACTCCATAAGGAAAGGAGACATAAGATCCTTTTGAGACAAGAAAATGCTAAGGGAGTTTGTTACTGCCAGACCTGTCTTATAAGAGGTCATGAAGGGAGTGCTAAATATGGAAAAGAAAGATCAATACTGGCCACAACAAAAACACACTTAAGTACATAAACCATTGACACTATAAAAACCACACGTTTGCATAGCTACCAGCTACCAATACAATGACAGGACCACTGACACTATAAAACCACACAGACAAGTCTGCATAGTAACCAGCTAACAACACATTGACAGGATCAAATCTGCACTATACCAGTGTGAACCTTGAATGTGAACAAGCTAAATACCCCAATTAAAAGGCACAGAATGGCAAGGTGGATAAAGAAGACCCAACAGAATGCTGTCTTCAAGAGAACTGTGTCACATTCAATGACACCCATAGGATCACAGTAAAAGGATGGAGAAAAACTTACCAGGCAAATGGAAAAGAGAAAAAAATGGGTTGCTATTGTAATGTCAAATAAAGCAGATTTTAAGAAGAAAGAAGATAAGGAAGGGCATTACATAGTGATATAGGATTCAATTCAACAGGAATACCTAACCTAAAATATATGCACCCAACACAGGAGCACCCAAATTCATAAAGCAAGTTCTTAGAGACCTATGAAGAGACTTAGATAACTACACAGTAATAGTGGGAGACTTGAATACCCCACACTGACTTAGACAGATCATCAAAGCAGAAAGCAAAGATATTTGGGACCTGAACTCAATGCTTCACCAAATAGACCTAATAGTCATCTATAGGATTCTCCACCCAAAACAACAGAGTATACATCCTTCTTGTCTGCACATGGCACACACATACTCTAAAGCTGACTGCCCAATTGGCCATAAAACAATCCTCAGCAAGGTAAAAAAAAAAAAAAGCCAACCACACTCTCAGACCACAGCACAATAAGAATCACTCAAAACTGTACAGTCACATGGAAATTAACCTGCTCCTGGATAACTTGGGAGTAAACAATGAAATTAAAGGAAAAATTAGGAAATTAATTGAAACTAATGAGAACAAATATGGAACATTCCAGAGTCTCTGGGACACAGCTAAAACAGTGTTAAGAGGGCCAAATGCCCACATCAAAAAGTTAGAAAGATCTCAAATTAACAACCTAATGTCACAGCTGCAGGAACTAGAGAAACAAGAGCAAACCAACCCCAAGGCTAGTAGAAGACAAGAAATAACAAAAACCAGAGTAGAAAGAAGTTGAGACATGAAAAACCATACCAAAAATCAGTAAGTTCAGGAGTTGGTTATTTGAAAGAATAAATAAGGTAGACAGACCACTAGCTAGACTAATAAAGAAGATCCATATAAACATAATCAGAAACGACAAAGGGGATATAATCACCAACCCCACAGGGAGGAAAAGTCCCTCAGAAACATCTATGAGCACCTCTGTGCAAACAAACTAGAAAACCTAGAAGGAATGAGTAAATTCCTGGAAACATACAACCTCCCAAGTTTGAACCAGGAAGAAATTGAATCCTTGAACAGACCAATAACACGTTCTAAAATTGAATGACTAATAATAATTTTTAACAACCCTACCAAATCAGAAAAAGCCTAGAACCACATGAAGTCACAGCCAAATTATACCAGATGTATAAAGAAGACCTGGTATCATTAATACTAAAACTATTTCTAAAAAACTGAGGAGGAAGAACACCTCCTTAACTCATTATATGAGTCCAGCATCATCCTTATACCAAAATTTGGCAGAGACACAACAAAAAAGAAAGCTTCAGGCCAATAACCTTGAGGAACATAGATGCAAAAATCCTCGACAACTCAGTTTGCTGTACTAGCAAGCCCAAGCCCAGCAGCATATCAAAAACGAATCCACCACAATCAAGTAAGCTTTATCCCTGGGATGCAAAGTTGATTCCACATATGCAAATCAGTAAATGTGTTTCATCACATAAACAACTAAAAACAAATACCACATGATTATCTCAATAGATGCAGGAAAGGCTTTCAATAAAATTCAACATCACTTCATGTTAAAACCCTCAACAAGCGAGGCATCAGAGGAACATACTTCAAAATAATAAGCACCATCTATGATAAGTCCACAGCCAACATCATACTGAATGGGCCAATGCTAGAAGCATTCCCTTTGAGAACTAGAACAAGACAAGGATGTCCACCGTCACCAATCCTATTCAACATATGAATCTTAGCCAGAGAAATCAGGTAGGAGAAAGAAAAGACACCAAAATAGGAAAAGAGGAAGTCACACTTTCTGCAGACAATATGATTCCATACCTGGAAAACCCCATAGTCTTTACCTAAAAGCTCCTTGATCTGATAAACCATAAGAAAGTTTCAGGATACAAAATTAATGTACAAAATCAGTGGCATTTTTGTACACCAACAACATTCAATCTGAGGGTCAAAATCAAGAATGCAATCTCATTCACAATAGCCACACACACACACAACTACCTAGGAATATAGATATCAAGGGAAGTGAAAGATCTCTACAATAAGAATCACAAAACACTGCTCAAAAAAATGAGATGACACAAACAAATAGAAAAACATTCCATTCTCATGGATAGGAATAATCGGTATTGTTAAAATGGCCAGAGTGCCCAATGCAGTTTATGGATTCAATGCTATTCCAGTCAAACTACCAGTGACATACTTCACAGAATTAGAAAAAAAAACTATGGAACTTAAAAAAGAGCCCAAATAGCCATAGCAATCTTAAGCAAGATGAACAAAGCTGGAGGCATTACGCTACCCAACTTCAACTATACTACAAGACTTCAGTAACCAAAACATCATGGTACTGGTACAAAAGCAGACACGTAGACCGATGGAACAGAAAAGAGAGCCAAGAAATAATGCTGCACACCTATGATCTGATATTTGAAAAAAAGTCAACAGAAATGAGTGATGGGGAAAGGACTCCCTGTTCAATAAATGGTGCTTCTAGCCTTATGCAGAAGATTGAAACTGGACCCCTTCCTTATGGCATATACAAAAATCAACTCAAGATGAAGTAAAGACTTAGATGTAAAACCTAAAACTATAAAAGCCCTGGAAGATAGCCTGGGAAATACTATTCTGGATTTAAGACCTGGCAAAGATTTCATAACAAAGATGCCAAAAACAATGGCAACAAAAACAAAAATTGGCAAATGAAATCTTAAGAGCTTTAGCATTGCCAAAAACAAAGAAACGAAAAGATGAACAGAGTAAACAGAGAACCTACAGAATGAGAGAAAATATTTTCAAACTCTGCATCCTACAGAGGTCTAATCTCCAGAATTTATAAGGAACTTTATGAGCAAAAAACAACCCCATTAAAAAGTGGGCAAGGTCATGAACAGACACTTTTCAAAAAAAAGACTTACACGTGGCCAAGAAGCATATGAAAAAATGCTCCACATCACTAATAATTAGAGAAATGCAAATCAAAACCACAATGAGATACCATCTCACACCAATCAGAGTGCCTATTATTAACAAGTCAAAAATTAACAGATTTTGGTGTAGTTGCAGAGAAAATGGAACACTTATATACTACTAATGGGAATGTAAGTTAGTTCAGCCATTGTGCAGAGCAGTTTGGTGATTTATGAAGGAACCTGAAACAGAATTACCATTGGACCCAGCAATCCCATTATTGGATATATACCTAAAGGAATATAAATTGTTCTGCCATAAAGACATAGGCACATGTATGTTCATCACAGCCACTATTCACAACAGCAAAGACATGGAATCAACCTAAATGCCCATCAGTGGTGGTCTGGATAAAGAATATATGGTACCTATACACCAATATACACAGC